CCCATTCATTGCCCCTCGTTGCTCCATCCCCGTTATCCTCCCCCCCCTCATTTCGCATCCCTGGCTCGGTGCAGTCTCGTGGGGCTGGGCCGGGAGAGCTCGGGGAACCCCATCCCCTGCCCGGCTCTGCGGGCGGCACACCCCCTCTGCACGCCCTCCGCAGCAGCCTCGCCGCCTGTCGCGGTAGTGACCGCCTGTCGCGACAGACGAGCCTCCGCCCCACCTGTTGTCACAGCCCCTGGCTCGGCTGGGCACCCCCGGGGCGCTGGCACCCCCCGTTCCGGCTGTGTCCCTCCGGTGAGCGGGGGCAGTGGTGTGACCTGGGGGTGACCGGGAGTGACATGGGGTTCCCGTACCCCCGCAGGGCCGGGTGGTGGCCCGGGGATGCTCAATCCTTTCCAGGTTCAGGGACTGGAGGGGTGACCGGGGGTGACCGGGGCTGCCCATCCCCCTGCCATGTGGTGACACTCGTGCCCCCACAGGGTGGAGGCACAGCCCGGTGGGACCCCTGTGCCTGCCCAGGACCATGATCCCCCCCAAGGAGAAAGCCCGCGCCCCCAAGGACAGCATGACACTCCTGCCCTGCTTCTACTTCGTGGAGGTGGGTGTGGGGTGGGTTTGGGGTGGGGGCTGTGCAGGGGGCTCTGTCCCAGGCCCTGACGTGGCAGGTCAGGTTCTGTGTCCCGTTCTGCTGGGGCTGTGCGGTGCCATTGCTCCGGGGGCGCGTTGGTCCCCAACTCTCCCCCCGCAGCTGCCCATCGTGGCCTCCTCTGTCGTGACGCTCTATTTCCTGGAGCTGACGGACGTCTTCAAGCCGGCCAAGGTGGGCTTCCAGTGCTATGACCGGGCACTCTCCATGCCCTACGTGGAGACCAACGAGGAGCTCATCCCGCTGCTGATGCTGCTCAGCCTGGTCTTTGCCGCGCCCGCCGCCTCGGTGCGTCTGGGCTTGTCCCGCTGTGGGGGTCGGGACAGATCCAGGGATTGGGGTCCCGGTGCCTGGTGGTGTCCAGAATCCATCGGGCCCAACAACCCAGCCCCCCCAGTCCCGCCTGAGCCAGCGGTTCCTCTCCAGATCATGGTCGGGGAGGGCATGGTGTACTGCCTGCAGTCCCGGCTGAAGGGCCGTGCCGGTGCCGAGGGCAGCATCAACGCCGGTGGCTGCAACTTCAACTCCTTCCTGCGCCGCACCGTCAGGTTTGTGGGTACGTTGTGCCACAGCCTGAACAGGACCTGGAGGGGCCTGGAGGGGATGAGGGGCCACCCTGGCTGTGACAGCAGGAGCACAGCCCCACCCAGACCCTGGACACTGCACCAGACCCAAAACAGTGGGTGCCCCAGGGCTGGGTCCTGGCTGCCCCACATGGGATGTGGGTGACCCACTGCCCCATTCCTGCCATCCCCAGGCGTCCACGTATTTGGGCTCTGTGCCACAGCCCTGGTGACAGACATCATCCAGCTGGCCACAGGTTACCACGCTCCTTTCTTCCTGACCGTCTGCAAGCCCAACTACACACTGCTGGGCACCCCCTGTGACGCCAACCCCTACATCACCCAGGACATCTGCTCAGGCACCGACAAGCACGCCATCCTCTCCGCTAGGTATGTGCCAGGGGAGCCCTGTGCTGCACTGCCGGCCCTCCTGCCCTGTCCCAACCACGTCCCTTCTCCCTGCAGGAAAACCTTCCCATCCCAGCACGCAACACTCTCGGCTTTCGCTGCCGTCTATGTGTCGGTGAGTTCCCAGCTCTGCCTGGCACATGCCAGCTTGGGGCAGCACGAGCCCGGTGCCATGGGCAGCTGTGTCCCTCTCCTGTTGGCACAGACAAGCTCTGCTCAATATTCCTGTGCCCTTGCTGGGTGTGTGTGCAGGAACCTGCAGTCCCACATGCACCCAACAGCTCTGTGCACGGCCAGCTCATGACTAACAGCCTGTTTCTGCCTCAGATGTATTTCAACTCCATCATCTCGGACAGCACCAAACTCCTCAAACCCATCCTGGTCTTCGCCTTTGCCATCGCCGCTGGCATCTGTGGCCTGACCCAGATCACCCAGTACCGCAGCCACCCCGCCGACGTCTACGTGGGCTTCCTGATCGGCTCTGGCATTGCCGCCTACCTGGTGGGTGCTGGTCCTGCCCTTGGCCCAGGGAGAGGGCTGAGGGTGCTGGTGGGGCCATTTGACTCCACACTCTCCAGAGCAGCTGCATCCCTGGAAGTGTGCAAGGCCAGGCTGGACAGGGCTTGGAGCAACCTGGTCTAGTGGAAGTTGTCCCTGCCTGTGGCAGATGACCTTTAAAAGTCCTTTCCAACACAAACCACTCTAGGATTCTATGGTTCCCCTTCCCACAGGCTTTCCATGCTGTTGGCAACTTCCGTGCCCCAACGGAGCGGGTCCCGACACAGGCACCGGCCAAGGACGCGCTGCGGGCACTGACACAGCGGGGCCACGATTCTGTCTACCACCAGAACAAGTCGGTGAGCACTGACGAGCTGAACCCGCAGGCGCGGCTGGAGGAGGCGGCACGGCCGGTGCCGCGGGAGAAGAACTCGCTGGGCAGCCTGAAGCGGGCCAGCGTGGACGTGGACCTGCTGGCCCCCCGCAGCCCCATGGGCAAGGAGAACATGGTGACCTTCAGCAACACCCTGCCCCGCGTCAACACCCCCTCCATGGATGACCCCGCGCGGCGCCACATGACCATCCACGTCCCCGTGGACGCCTCCCGCTCTAAGCAGCTCATCACGGAATGGAAGCAGAAGTCTCTGGAGGGTCGGAGCATGACGCTGGCGGAGGAGGCGGCGCAGGGCCGGGGTGTGGGGGAGCCCTGCGAGGAGGTGCCGCCCTCCCTGTACCCCACGGTGCAGGCGCGCTCGGCCGAGCGGGTGGCCATGGGGCCCCGCGTGCTCATCCAGCCCCGGCCGGGCGCCTCGCAGCTGGTGCACATCCCCGAGGAGAGCCAGGCAGGCGCTGGGGCCGCGGCCGGCAGCGGGGCGGCCGTGCGGGCCAAGTGGGTGATGGTGGCGGAGAAGGGGGGAGCGCAGCGGGTGGCCAACCCCCCGCGCCTGATGCAGGTCATCGCCATGTCCAAGCAGCAGAGCCTTGTCTCTGTCACCCCCAAGCACTCAGAGACGTCCTCGTCCTCTACCAGCTCTGACTCCTCGCAGTACCGCTCTCCCTCTGAGCGGGACAGCTCCAGCATCATCACCATCGACGCTCACGCCCCTCACCACCCTGTTGTCCACCTCTCTGCTGGCAATGGGCCCTGGGAGTGGAAGTCGGGGCCGAAGGGGCCAGAGGGAGCAGACACCTACGAGCTGGGTGAGGTGGGGAAGGATTTCCATGGCTTCCGCCCAGCCAAGAGCGCCGGCGTCTCCCCTGGCTCCTCCATCAGCGACATGGAGCAGGACGAGCCACGCTACGGCAGCCTGGCCGCCATCCCGGGGGCAGCAGGGGGAGGTGGGGAGCGGGTGGAGGCCACCCCTGAGGGGCTACTGGCCACAGCCAGCCGTGACTCCACGCTGCGGAGGAAGCCGGCCGAGCGGGACGGGACGGCGGACAGCGAGGTGGATCTGTACTACAAGAAGATGCAGGCAGGTCGCAGGTTTAAGGACTGAGCCCCGGTGCCTTGCCGGGGCCCCATGTCCCTGCCCTGATTTTGGGAGGGGGCTCTGTGATGCTGGGGTCTCTCTGCTGGGGACAGCAGGATGAGGCTGGCTTTGCTCTCGAGCAGCACGGCCACGCTGGTCCTGAGCCAGCCGAGATGTCCGTGGGACCCTTGGCATGGGTCGGGTCATGGTTGTTCTCGCTCAGGCAGCTGGTGGGGCTCTGCCCCCCACAGGCTGTGGGGCTGGGCAGCTCCAAGCACTTTTGACTTTCTTTTTCTCTCTAACACTGGTGCTGACATTTCCGAGGGGTTATTTTATTCTGGCTCTGGAAGTGGATATCTGTAGGGGGGTGGGGAGGGACAAATGGTGCTGAAGGGCTTTGGGGGGGACTAGATTAAGGGGTTTAACAGGGGGAAGAGGCTGCTCTGGGGCAGCAGGCCCTAGCTCATGTAGGGATTTGTGGGTGCTGGGGGTCCTGTGACACCCCCCCATCCTGCACTACTGCTCTGTGTGAGTGAGCCTGAGGGTGGGCAGACTGGGAGGGGGGGTCTGCCCAACGCTGTGGCTCTGGGAATGCAGAGACTGTAAATACTGCAGGGACTGGAGGAGAGGGGATGTTGGGGTGGGGGTGCAGTGTGGGCTGAGCTCTGCCCCAGGAGGAGCAGCAACCCTGAGCTGCAGCTGAGGTCTGGGGGAGCAGGGAGGGGATCTCCAGGCTGCAAATATGTCGGGCAACAGCTGAAGCTGCTGTGGTTTGAAAAGCAAATAAACACGTGGATGTTCCCTGGCTGGGTTCCTTCGGCAGGGTGGGGGGCAGCTGGGTCCCCCGGCTGGGGGGGGGTAGGACCAGGGCTCCGTGGGAGTTCCCAGCTCCAGGGAGCCGTGGCTGGGGCAGCCGCATCCACCCCGCTACAGGACACTGCCGATGGCACCAAACTGCCACTGCCAATTGGATTAACAGTGGATATCCCAAAGCCTTTGCCTTGCAAACATATGGATTATCCACATAACCCTGACTCGGTGCTGGAAAAGCCACCCGGGATTAGCGGGAGGATTGTGGCAGCAGCTCGTGGTGTGGGGGGGTGTGGGGGTCTCTGGGGGGCTGGAGACGAGGGGTCCAATGCCAACCAGCGCGAGGGCCGTGGGGCTGCTCCATCCATCTATCTGTCCATCCGTCCAGCCGTGCTGCGGCTGACCCGGGGAGGTGACCCGGAGCCGCTGGCCAAGGTCACTGGGATCGAGGCCGTGCTCCGGCGGTCCTTGCTGGGGGTCAGGGAGATGTGGGGGCTCCCAGCCCAGCAGCCTCACGTCCCCCCCGCGCTCACGGCTCATTGCGGTGCCGATGGCGTCACACGCCGCTTCCCGCTGCCTCTGACCCAGCGGTTTCCATGGCAACTGACAGCCCCGCATCGCTCTCGCGGTCGGGCAACCCCCAGCCCCGCACCCGCAGCCCCCTCGGGCAGCCCTCGCTGCATCGCTTGGGGACCCGTGGGGTCGGGAGGGAGCATCCTCATCCTCATCCTCATCCTCATCCTCATCCTCATCCTCATCCTCATCCTCATCCTCATCCTCATCCTCCCCCCAGCTCCGCACAGGGCTGCCAGCCCCCATCTCAGCTCCGGCCTGGACTCTGTCTCGGCACCACACATGTGTCGGTGTCCCGGCCTGGGGACACCCTCCCTCTGCCGGGAGTCCCCGCAGGTCCCCGTGTCCCCCCGGTGAGCCCCAGGGGCAGGGCTCGGCTTTGTGACACACAAAGGGCTCAGCCCCGCTCCCGGCCCCGCCCCGGGGCTCGCTGTGCCAGCGATTTGGGGTTGCTGCTCCGGGGTTCCCGCTGGCCGCTAATTCCCTTTCCGCAGCCAGGGAGCCCGGGTTTTAGGGTGCTCACTCCGCAGGCAGCATCTTCCCCCGGCTGGAAGAGCCTTTTGGTGCAGCAGCCCCCGCTTTCCCCGAGTCAGCGTTTTCCCGTTCAGCTTCAGGGCAGTTCTCCCGGCGGCCGGACACGGTGAGAGCCGGTCCGGGGAACACACAGAGGCAGCCCCGACACGGGCTCTGCTCTATGGGGGCACGGCCCGTCCCGGGGCCAGGCTGGGGGAGCAGCCGTGGGAAGGGGGGACAGGAGAACCCCCGAAGCCACCTCTGTCCCCATGGCGACCCCCGTCCACCGCTGCCACCCCGGTCGGATCTTTCTCCCGTGCCAGCGGCCGAGCAGTGTCCGAGGGGCCAGGGAAGGACACAGGAATGCCCACGATGGTTGCAAAGCCTGGGCTGGGCCCCAGAGAACCCAGGGAACCAACCCCAGAGCGATGCTCCTGCTCACTCTGCAGGGCAGAAAAGCACCGCCCTCGGCCCAGCTTTCACGGGCACAGGCAGCAGCAGCTGTTACAAATCCCATTAGCCTTTCAAGGAACAACAGTGGTCCCTTTCAGCAGCCCCCGGCTCCGGCAGGACCCCCTCGGTAACCCTGGAGCCAGAGGGTTGTGCAAACGCCTGTGGAATGCGCTGGAGCGTAATGGTAGCTCAGCCCAGAGGGACGGGGCCAGCAGAGCCACAACAGCAGCTCCAGGTGGGAACTGTCTCCACACACTTTTGGACAAGGGTTTGAGTATACAGGTAAGAACCACATCCCTAAAGAAGCACCGCGCTGCTCCTCAGGCAGCTCACGGAGAGATGGGAATTGCACCTCCTCCCACAGGATGGAGAATGCCACATCCAGCCCCACAGCTACAGCACAGGACTAGAGAGAGGAGGGTTTGACTCAAAGTGGGTTATTTTTCATGGATATTAGCCAGAACATATGGAAAGTTTAGGAACATGAAGTAACAAAGTGCTGGAGTGTGACACAGGCAGGGCAGCAGCGAGGGCCCAACAGCCTCAGGCCTTGGGACTCCAGCCTGGCACCGAGGGACGGGAGGGCCAGACCCCATCCCATGGCTCCACAGAGACAGGGACACACACTGCCAGCCCAGAGTGTGTGAAAAGTCAAAGTTAAATAAAATGAGGCAGCTGGAATTACATGAGAAGGAAAAATCAGAAGCAAAACAGGCACAATAAAGAGGAGGAAGATCAGGAGTGAAGGATACAGAAGAATTTATTGAAAGCACAAGTACAGACTGGGCACCAACTGCTTCTACAATCTCAACAGAAATAATGGAGCTACAGAAAGGTACAAAGGTTGTTATAAAATAGTTTTAATTTCTTTTTGCATTACAAACATTCTTTGAAAGAGGCAATGGAATTCTGATGGTGTGTACGCTTCCCCTCCCCACCCACCTTCCACAATACTGAACCTGGAATTGCTGTTATCAAAATATACAATACATCTGGTCACCATAAAAAACTGGGTTTTGCTGCCCCTCATGTCTTACAACAGGTATAAAAAAATTATAAATATGTACACCCTTAGTTACTCACATTCTTTACATGCAAACACAGGATCCGAAGGGAGCACCCGCTGTGCTGGGGGCGCCTGGTTACCCCAAATCCATCTGCAATTTGCACGGGACACCCGGAGCATCCCGGCCAGGGCCCGGCCCCGGGAGCCTCCCCAGCACTGGGGAGGGTGATGGGGGGCACTGAGCAGTTACCCCAGTGCTGCTGGGCTGGGCGCCCTGTGGAAGGAGCAGGTGTTTCAGTAGGGATGAGCCAACAATGCCCCTCCTGTGCCCTCCTGCAGGATGCTGGCAGGGCCTCGGGGAGCTTTGCAGGGGCAGATCCCTGGCTCCAGCACAGCTCACCCAGATTTAGAGGTACCCAAAAGCAGCTGGGGTGATGCTGTCTTGCCCTCCTCAGGGGTACCCAGCACGCCACAGCCCCAGCGAGACCCTCACTCGGATCTCACACGCTTCTCCAGCATAACTCATAACCTTGAGAGTCCAGGGAGGAACTACAGAAAGTTAAGACTTTTTCAAACACTCAGTGCTAGGCAAGTCAAGAGCTCCCACACCAAGCAAGGAAATCAGAACTTGCAACACTAAGACAATTAAAAAACAAACTTTGGTCCACAATTTGCAGAAAAACCCTGAAAAAAAGTACAAGATTCTTGTTATTTTGCATCCGAACAGGTTGCAGGTTAGAGGGAAATGTAAGGCAACATCGGATCACACGGAATAGAAGGCAGAATGGCCCGGGAAAGAGTTGTAAGCCAGAAAAAAAAAAAATAAAAACGGTTGTATCATTGGGAAAAACTGATCTGCTGCATTCTACTTTTAATAAATTCCCTTCCTAGAACAACATCTGGGCTTATAGGTTCAAAAGGTAAAAAAAAAATCTTTAGCCTGGGTCCTTTTCCTTCCATTCCCGAGCTGTTTGTGCTCATTCTCTCACACCCTTGGCTCTGCTCATCCTCAGCCACGACCTCAGCCTGGAAACTACTCCTGCCCTACAGCTTCAATTACAAAACAAAGAAAATAAAGTACAGTATACACGGGTAATACCACAAAGGAGTAAATTCAGATTACGTTTATACCATCTTATCATTCTATAAAAGGTACTTAAAACTATTTCTTTTGCATATAAAGAGATTAGAATATTTGGTCAACTGGAAATATTGCTAGGCACAGAGGACAGCAACGGCATCAAAGTATAATACAAGGATTCAAACAAAAGCTCAAATGCTGAAGACATGCTCTAAGAACGATGGCGGAGCTACAGCAGCCTCGTTAATCTCCAATTAGGGGCACAAAGGTACCTCTTGCAGGTACCTTTCTAATTGTGGGGTATCCAAGGATTCTCCAAATCCTAGCCAAGCATTTAGGTATATACACACACAATTTTGACAAACTCTGATTCATCTTCACAAGTGTCCCACAGCAGCTCTTTTGTCCCTCGCCAATGCTCTGTGAGGGCAGAGCCTGCGGGCTCGCTCCTGACACTGGAATGTGATTTGGCCTTGGGAATGCTCCCCCACCCAGACCTTTGCTCAGCCACAAAGGCTCTCAGGTAACTCCCACCTGAGTTTGCAGGTGGCAATGACCCACGAGCAGACTGGGAAGTGGCACTGGGCACAC